CCACAGAGAGTCATATAGTAAACAAACATATCATAACCATATCACAGGTTAAGGCCTCTTCTGAACATTTGAAGGTCCTAACTATATATTGGTTACCTACACTACATAAAAAAGCAGTAAAACATCGTTTCATCTCGGCCTCTAGAAAGTGTTCTACAACTAATCTTTCAGTGCTTTTAACTAGTTCCTTAACTACTATCAAAGAACTTATCGTTAACTTTGTAATAAAATATATAAAAATAGTGGAATTATCTTTTTTTGGAGTGAAAAAAATTCTTTGAATGCTTTAAATAAATTACGTGCTTTTGGTTGTCCTTTTAATTCTGTTGACAGTTTTGACTTTTTCAACTCTTCACACTACACTTCCACACAATCTTATCAAACAAAAGTTTTCGTATTTAATTAAATGGTCGTTTGGTAAATCTAAATGCAAATATATTTGCTGCAACTCATTTAAAGCCTTCTTCTCTATGGTGTTAATTTTCTCCTTGAAAATATTTATGTATGTTTCGGCAACAAAGTTTATCGACAGGTTGTAGGTATCTCTATTGGCACAAATTGCATCCCTTTGATAGCAGACTTGTTCCTGTACTGTTATGAATCACAGATTATGACAAAACTCAGTAAAGACCAATCTTAATTGCATTTAATTGATAAATTCAACAACACTTACTGTTATCTTGATGATATTTTTTCGTTCAATAATCAAGAATTTTCTTAATATACTGCCGAAATTTACCCAAAGGAACTAACTTTAAATAAATCAAATATAAACGGTAATAACTGTCCTTTCCTAGATTTAGATATTTCAGATTTACACGGGAAACTCTACACTAAAATTTACAACAAAAGAGACGATTTTTCGTTCCCTATTGTTAATTTTCCTTTTTTGGATGATGATATATAAAAAAGAAGATGTGGTATGATTGCCAATGAAACAACTCTTCACAAGAGACCAAATGACACAGCAATTAACAATTATAGGTCACCGTACGGCCTTCAACAATGAGCAAATCCCATACCGCATAGTCAGCTATAAAAGGCCCCGAAATGACAAATGTAAAACAATTTAAACGAGAAAAACTAACGGTCTAATTTATGTACAAAAAAATGAACGAAAAACAGATATGTAATACAGCATCAAACGATAACCACTGAGTTACAGGCTCCTGACTTGGGACAGGCACATACATATAGAATGTGTTGGGGTTAACCATGTTAGCGGGACCCCAACCTTCCCCTAACCTGGGACAGTGGTGTAACGGTACAACATAAGAATGAACTATAAAAATCAGTTGAAAAAGGCTTAATTCATCAGATGGATACAAATAGATATACATTTAACAAAAACACAGAGGCGCCAACTTACGGTGTTTATATATCACAACTCGTTCGCTATGCGCGTGTCTTTTATGACATTTTGGATGTTAATGAACGTAATCTATGTATTACTGGTAAATTATTAAGTCAGGGATTTCGTTACTACAAATTACTTAAAACCTTTACTAAATTCTTCCATAAATTTAAAGATTTGGTTTTGAAGTTTGGTTGTATATGTAGAAAACTTATTTCAAATGGGATAGCACATCCTCATTTTTCCGGAGATGTAGTTTACCGAGCCCGGAAATTAAGAAACGACCCGGGTAAACTTATCGATCCATTAAATAAACTTATTCTAAAAGGTTACCAATTAAACACTGTAATTAGATCGTTGAATATTGTTTTTATTGGTATTAATATTGATTTTGTTTTCAGTAAATTAAAAGCAAACTAAATATTATTGTTATATACATATGCACATTCATGGCTCTACAATCTGTCGATACCTGTATCTTGGCATTGCACAAGGTCATGTTTTCTCTTACCGTTTATGACGTCTTTACACTAAATCCATTGGATGTTGAATGTGTACTGATTGATAATTTAGTCTTAGATGCATGATTTTCTTTATTAGTTGTTATTGGCTTTTAACTAGCTGTCAGTAACTGCGAGTACTCTCAGATCTGTATTTAGTGTCTTTTTGTTGTTGGGAAGTACCCGTCCACTTTCACTATGTGTTTTTGTTAGATGTATTTCTATTTGTATCCATCTGATGAATTAAGCCTTTTGCAACCGATTTTTATAGTTTGTTCTTATGTTGTACTGTTACACCACTGTCCCAGGTTAGGGGAGCGTTGGGCGCCCGCTTACATGTTTAACCCCGCAACATTCTGTATGTGCCTGTCCCAAGTCAGGAGCCTATCGCCTGGTTGTCGTTTGTTGCTGTGTTACATATTTGTTTTTCGTCCATTATTTTCTACATAAATTAGGCCGTTAGTTTTCTCGTTTGAATTGTTTTACATTTGTCATTTCGGGGCCTTTTATAGTTGACTATGCGGTATGGGATTTGCTCATTGTTGAAGGCCGTACGGTGACCAAGAGTTGTTGATTTCTGTGTCATTTGGTCTCTTGTGGAAAGTTGTCTCATTGGCAATCATAACCCATCTTCTTTTTTATACGTAGTGATTTAACTAAGTTACGCTATATCAAGTAACACTCTGTCGTGATTGTGCAGTGCCATCTACAAATATTACGTTCGTTAAAACATATATTTACAATTAAATTTTAATGTTCATTTATTCCGGGTCCATAGGATAGTACATGTATAGGATAGAATAGGGGTGGGTTGATGCAGACATGTGTCGAATTCCATATCACGCCAACGTCCAACACGGTAAAGTGATGTTCTGATGACAAAACGATCTACTTCTGATGATTAGGGACTTTCCGTTTTGAATTTTCCTCGGAATTCAGTATTTTTATGATTTTACTTTTTTCTTCTGAAGTCAATTTCCAAAGGGGAAAATACAAAGACTTAATATAATAAATACAGGTAATTTTTTGGGAAAGAATATTTTACACACATAAACGTCGATACACATGATATAGGTCCGGTGGCTTGGTTTTTTCAGTCCCGTTTGCTGTTTTGAAAGCAGGTATACATCTATATAAAATATTTAAAGCGTTGTAAGATTTATTTTTGTAAATAAAAGGAGATGTAGGGTACCATAAATAAGACAGCAACCAAATTAACGCTAACATAAATAAATTCAACAAAAAATAGATAATTGTGTATAATTTTGCAAGACTTCAAAATATTCAATCAACACAAAATCCCTTAATAGCGAAATTGAATACACAAATTTGGGAGACCTTGAGTAGGAACAAGCTCCGTCTGCTAACATCTGAGACAACAATAATTACAGCTTCATGTACATGTTTATATTAAATTGTTTTGACAACAAAAAATAAATAGTTGAACTTTTATCGATGCATGTGAATAGTGCTGAAAAATGTTCAAAACCATAGTTTTAGTAAATATGTTTTACCACAGCCGAGAAAATGAGCCAGTCAAATATTTATAACATAAAAATAAGAAGATTTGGTATGATTACTAATGAGGTAACTACCAAACAGAGACAAATGACGTAGATGTTAGCAAATATACGTCAACCTACGGCATTTGACAATTAGAAAAACTCATACTGCATTGCAAGCTATAAAAGGATACGACATGACAAAAGTAAAAAAAAAATCATACGAGAAAACCAACAGCATGTCATTGATTTATCTTCAAAACAAATATAAACGAAAAGCAAATATAATCATGGGTGGCATTCGGTATATCGAGAACAACGATCGCGAAAGAATAAGTAACGGTGTTCAAGTATTGCGATGGGATCGTGAAAGATCTGGTATAGGATCGTGAAGAGAATCTTATCGAGAAGACATGCAACGCCAGTAAATTTAATTAAATCAATAATAATGACACAAATTGGAAAAATAAAACTGTCAAAATGGTTTAACATTATGATCAGTATCCGAGAAAAATCAAGGTTTAAAAGTTTTACAAAACTACAAAGGGCAAATTGCTCCTCAAAATTTAAGACATAAAAATGTAAACAAACATGATTATTTTTCATATTTTGGATGCTTAAACTACTTTTCTCCTAAAATTCTATTCCATATTACTGTTTAAATACTTCTTAATGTTATTCAGATTAAATTGATCAGAAACATTTAACAAATGGGAATATTTGTAAAAATTTCGGATCGTGATGATCGCGTAAGATTTGTTGCCACTTATTCGTTAATGCAAAAATCCACGAAAACGATCAAATCATTTTTCTATGCACATGATAATATTTATAGCAAAAGGTTGGATTTGCATTACCTAATCTGCTTCACTTTTATTTGATAATAGGGCTATAATACATGTAGTTTAATTCCTATCTGATGATTGGATAATACAGCACCGACTTGTTGCCTTATATCAATATAAATCCGCCTGTCCGTCCTGTATAAGTTTTATGAAAAGTCTAGATTGTCTAATCTAATTTCCTTTAATTTCTATGCACAGTAATATCAATAAAACGAAGATCCTTGTGGATTTTTTGTGAAAATTGTAAAAAAAACATTGTTTAAATAAAACACAGGAAAACAAATGTCATATTCCTGACCTGGTACAGGCATTTTCCTAAAAAAATGGTGGTTTAAACGTGTATTTTTAGCTAGCTAAAACTTACACTTGTATGACAGTTGGTTTATGTTCCATAATATTGCCAAATCAGGGGAGCAACCCAAACAGACATTAAGACATGGTTGAAGACCCATTTGGTGGTCTTTGGGATGTTTTCTGCTCTTTGTTCGAGTTGTTGTCTCTTTGACACATTCCCCGTTACCATTCTCAGTTTTATAATTGGTTGACGTGGTCAAAACTGTGATCCAGAAGCCAAAACTGTGTAAACATACATAGCAGACATACAACACAACTGAATTAAATATTCAAACATAATTACAATTAAATCAAACAAAGACGCCTACTAAAAAAGTGTTGTTGTGTTGTAGTTATGCGATTAAATTTAGAAAATTCTGACCCTGGTCACCAGGGTAATAAGATTATGTACAGAAAACTATCATGCCCTTTCTTTTCAACTATGAAATGATCATATTTTACCAACCTGTTCTGTCTGTGTTGTACGATGTATCTTATTTAATGTAAACAATGACTGTCAGTAATAATAAAGTAATATCTGTTGTCAGATGAAATACTTCCTCAATCGATCAATAACTGAAATCTACTTTTGACTTTGTTTTATCTGGGTACTTATATTGCAATAATATTACATGTATGTTTCATTAACATCCGTAATTTTGATTGGCTTACAATAATCGCGAGGCACTCCATTATCATATTTTATTTCCGTATAAAACACAACAGCTATGACACTGCACTTGCTATCCGTGACTATTTTGTAATAGTACATTGAAAGATAAACCAAAAGTTTTATATAACTAAAATTTAATAGTTGTAGAATAAAAATGTAATTATCAGGATTGAATACTTCTTTTTACAAATTTATATGGTTGAAAAGCGTTGATCGTGTGCACAGTTTTGATATGAAGCGCTTCCGCTCTTCATACAAAATGGAATTTTATTATCAAGGATTCTATATGAAATACGTAAAATATGAAATGTTAACTAGTTTGCAGTTTTACTAATTTAGAAGCTTTTAATGGCATCTTGAACTAAAATGAATTAATTTGTATGTGGTAGGATATAGAATAGGGTTTTTTTCGTTAGAAAAGTCCTTCTTAATCATTTTTAATCTATTGTAAGAATTTAAAAAACCATGCTAAAGATAATTGAATAAATGTTAGTCTTATGCCTAATTCTGTGCATGATAATCGAAAAAAGAAATCGGGAACCCCCGCCACCACCTACCGCAAAAACCATCGGATGCCAATATTTTCAATGCATGAAGATATTTACAAAATAACAAGTAAGTCACCATAAAGGGAATCGTGGTTACTATACTTTGCCACCATAGGCTGTTCCCGTGTATACTAGTAGATAAACCTGAAGATCATAAACGGCACTTTTTATAAATTAAATATATTAACAGAGGTATTGCTTTCATCAACTTGTCGAGTATATTTGACGACTCTTCCATTCAAAACTTTATACCTCCCTATTTTGATAACACAGAACTACCTATTATTTCGTATGCAGAAGAAGCAGAAGTTTAATTTTTAATTATACGTCAGTAGCACCAGACGTCAATGTAGAAAATAATACTCCTCTAACTTGAGCTTGTGAATCGTCGAATTTAATATATGATCCTTATGACCATGTTATTACGGGGAACCTCAATATCGTTCAAGACCAAGAGGTTAAATACTTTTTGATAAAAGGACAAAAATATCGTCCTCCTTTTTAGATTGATTAAAAACAGTGTCGTCAGGTCACAAAAGGCTTTCTTTCATCGTACTGTAAAAATTGGTGTAAACGGGAAAAATCTGATAAAAATATAAAAAGTATGAATTTTGTAGATATTCGAATATCACATTTTGAAAATAATTCATAAATGAATAAAAGAGTACATAATACGCCTATTTCTAGAATAAGAAACAAACTTCAAGTACTTTCAAAGCGGTTTTTGTTTGTACCGGCCGACAAAGCAGCCAACAATGTGGTGGTGGTATGCCGTAAATACTAAACGGACGTTCAAAAGAATGACATTTTAAATTCTTCTACATTCATTCCACGGAGAGTCATAATTGTTTTCATAGTAATTGAGATTATTACACAATGTTGACTGCTGTACCCCAATTTTTGACATTTTTACCTATTATGTCTGTTTGTTTTGTTCACACATTGTTGTCAATATAATGAAATTTTATGCGAATGTCATACAAGTGAGAGGTTAATCAAGCTCTAAATCCAGGTTTAATTCACAATTTTCTACATAAGAAAATGTCTGTACTAAGTCAGGAATATGACAGTTGTTTTCCATTCGTTTCATGTGTTTCAGCTTTTGATTTTGCCAATTGTTAAGTGACTTTTCGTTTTGAATTTTCATTCGAGTTCGGTATTTTTGTTGTTTTACTTTTTATAAAATAAAGAAAGTCTTTTTGTCATACTATTATTTATGTAATTACAGTTATCAGTCTGAGTAGTTACAAACACTTCAGTTTTTTTTTTATTTGTTAAGGTTAACAAATAAATTGTTAGCGATGGTGGTAACATTTAAGGGTTTTTTTTCTGAAAGCTGTAAAACGGAAGGAAATTTTATATTCTTATCACTTAACATGGTATTCGTAGAAAAACGAATATGAAATTTAGTGTTAAAATATGCTACTGATACAGTCAGTATTTTTATTAAATTTCTTAAGTTTGCCATACCATATGACCTATTACAATGTTATTTGATACATTCATAGAACAAAACTCATTTTCAAATCGATTGATTAAGGCTCCAGTTGTTGTACCTCTTCACATTAAATATATAGACAGTTGGGGGTAGTCACTATAGACCTGTTAGTATTTTGACAATCGTATTAAAATATTTTTACAGAACTAAATAAAAAGAGATTAATCCTTTCTAATTCTTATCGTATCTTTCAATTTTCATATTCTTTAACTAATTGGGTATACTGCTTGTGACTAGAGTATTAACAAATAATTAATTATAAAATATGATATTCATATAAATAAAGGCAATAGTAGTATACCGCTGTTCGAAATTCATAAATCGATTGAGAAAAAAACAAGTATAATAGTTCAAGTATAATAGTACAAATCCGGGTTACAAACTGAAACTGAGGGAAACACATCAAAATAAGAGGAGAACTACGACATAACAGAAACACAACATCAAAATGTAACACACACAGAAACGAACTATAACATAACAATGGCCATTTTCCTGACTTGGTACAGGACATTTTAAGAAACAAATGGTGGGTTGAACCTGGTTTTGTGGCTAGCCAAACCTCGCACTTTTATGGCAATGTTAAATATAACACTAAAATGACACCATTGATGGCATGAATACAGTACAACATTACGGACAGAGAATTACGCAAATAAACAATACAATATAGTACATTTGGACAACGAAACAACAGAAACACTGAAGTGAACAAACAACAAACGACAATGCAACACACACAGAAACAAACTATACGATAACAATTGCCATTTTCCTGACTTGGTACAGGACATTTTAAAAAAAAAAAAATAGATCTTTTTACAGATTCATTTCCTAACCTGCAGGTAATAATTGTCTTCCATGATACTGAAATATTTCTTTTGCAAGATAAACACTTTTTATATCTTTTAATCTAATTTAAAGCTAAAACCTTTCATAACATTATGTTTTCATATATTACAACTTTTACTAGGTTAACAAAGGAAGGAAATGTAAAGCTGTTCATTCCATATATATATATATATAATCGTGTGTCTCTAATGTCACATGTGTTAGTAATGCTATCAATGAAAATGCATAATCTTTGATTATTACAACAAACAAACACAATCGCATGTAAGGGATGGTTATATCTCCTCTTATCATTGTAGGCTGGCGGATTGGTATCAAAAACCTGCCCACCGTTCGGTTCTGGTTGTGTACCACCAACAGCTTGAACCTGCTGTTCTGTCGGTTGAGTTGTAGTCATTACTTGATACTGTTGTCCTGTGTGATACTGCACTGTTGGGTAAGCTGTTTGTCCGGTAACTATCATGACCTGGTGACCGTTTGCCATAGGATTCTGATTCTGTGGTAGGTTAAGAAATATTCCAGGTTGTGAGCTAATAACAATTCCCTATTGAGACATGAAAACGCAAGTATTTATAGATACAGTTAATGCTTTGTTTTTATATAAAGAAACAGTGATAAATCTTTTTGAATAAAAAAACAGTTTTCAAATAAGTAAATACGATACTATATATAAGTAAATAAGAAGTATCCTCCCCAAGGTAAGGTTAGGAAAAGGAAAATATACTAAAACTCGATGTATATTCCATTGCATAATGGCCATGTATATTGACAATATGTCTGTTAAAGTCTGGAATCGGTACAGACAACAAAAACTTTAAGTTTGCCAATTGTAAGAAAGTTATTTCCAGTTCCAATTTACTGTGTATTTAGAGTTTATGTCCAGAGTAAGAGATAATATGGATGAAACCACACCGACTTAGAGGAATTACAACAGACATATTAAGATGGCTTTTAAAACTACCATATTTCGTATCACGGTATCGATAAAACCCTGCTATTTTGTTGGTTTAATTCAAAGTTCAAGTATAATAGTACTAAATGGTAGTTTATGCACCGTTCTGTCACCTCCCAAGAAAAGTATTGATACTTTAAGCAGACAACTCACAATTACGATTGTTATCTATGCATAAAAAAAATTGTATAACACTGAGTCGACAACGTCAGTATTGGTTGCAACATCTTAACATCAAATCCTTTGACCCTCCTAGTCCGCTCTTGTGTGACATATTTAGGTTCAGTTGAACAACATTTTCTAACCTGCTGATTTGATGTTCCCCGTGCGGAGAAGCAAAAACAGAATGAATCGGCAATGATTGTGACTTCCACTTCTGCAATGGACAACACAGCCATCAAAGCTGACAGATTCACAGTTTTTGAATCATTTCTTTCTCTCTGAAATAAGCATCAAAGTGTAAAGTTTCAACATGTAGCAAATAGACAAAGTGAAAATGACAAAATAATATTTTATTGTAAACATATAAATTGTTTGAGTTAAATTTAGCACAAAAAATGTAACATCTGCAATTTTAGTTCTTTTATCAGTGTTATTCAAACAAATCGTGGCAACACTACATGACCTATGTCAAGCGAATTTGACCCTTCGACAAACAAGCCTATATATAAGTTTCATTGGTCGAGTAAGTATTATCATTCTTTACGACAGACCTTATCTGCAAATTATTCCATCTACATGTCACAATACATCATGGACTTTGTTACCAGCCTAGATAAATCCGACTAAAAAAAGGCATTACTTGACTAACGAAAGATGTATCTTGTATTGCATTGTTCTAGAGTGATCACGGTCGCTAGACACTTTGCAATAGGTAGTTTCGTTTTCAAAGAAGCATGGCTTGAAATTCAGCTGAGGAAAGGAAAATATTTGTATCTGCTAATTTGCAGGTCTTACATGGTTGGCCCAAATTAAAGACGACGTGTTTATAATAAGTGTTGTCTGTCGTAGAGGTATCACATGATAAGACGTATATATAGTAT